CGGGAGCGTGTGGTGGGTTCCCAGTCTTTGCTCCCCACTTCCCACAGCTTCAGGCTTGCTCCCTGGGAGCCCTGCACCACCAACTCAGCCTCTGCTGGTCCTGTGCTGGCTCCAGTCTGAACACAGGAATTTGTTCTGAAGGGATGCTGCAAAAATGCTGCTGTGAATTTCTATAAAGGTGCCTGGAGCCGAGCTGGAGGCCTCAGCAGTGGAGACACCACCAGCCCTGTCCCGAGCTCCCATGCCACCTCTGAGCCCCGCTCATGGGCAGGACCTGCTGGAATCTTCTCCCACTGCCACTCACAAAAGTGTTTTCACCAAAACGCCATGGAAGCGTGGAAGGGCACGGGCTGTTGCCCAGTTTAAAGCATGTGTTACTCAAAAATGAGTGAGAAGTTTGGAGCTTACAGCAAACCCAGTGTGCTGATGTTTGCTCTTCGGCTGCAGGGCGATCCCTCTGGGATCCCTGGGGTTGCCTCAGTGGCCGGGGAGCGGAGTTTGGCTCTTGCTAAGTGGTTTATGGGACTTTGATTTTTCATTTAGCCAAAAAATAAAGGAAAAAAAATTAAAAAGTATTGGATATAGAAAGCCAAAAGATGCTCAGAACCTCTGAAGCTGACTGGAAAGGATCCCTCTGAGGGGAGAGATGAGTTAAGGGGAGTGAGGAGCGTTCGGGAGCAGGGCTGAGCCAGGCGCCTTGAATGTGATGGTGGTTTTGGGAAGGGACCGTTGCAGGGTGATGCTCAGCAGCAGTCCCAGCTCCCCTGGCGTGGTGTGTGCTGCCGTGGGGTGCTCGGGGAGCAGGGAGTGAGCACTGTGGCCGTGGATGGGGTCTGCCCTGAGCGTCACCCTTCACAACATCCTCAACCATCCCAGCGAGGCAAACGCGGAGGTTTCATGGTCTGTCACCCATCCAGCTGCAGCCTTGCCTGCCTGTGCCAGGGTGCTGAGGGTGATGGGGGGGTCCTGGCACTGGGCCTCCCTCCCCTTTCCTGCTGGGATCCATGCCTGGCCCGAGGGGCAGAGCCATGGCACGGCTGTGGAGAGCCCAGGCTGGGTAACAGCATCTGTTGTGTGGGTTTCCCCTCGGTTCTCACCCCGCTCTGAAGCGCAGAGGTCATGTTGTCTGCAGCTGGCAGTTCACTGGTCTTCCCGGAGTCTTTTTTCGTGGAGGAAGTCGCCTGAGGGTGGCTGAGAGGAGCCGAGGTGCCAGGAGGCAGGGCAGGAGGGAAGAGTGGGGCCTGGCACCTGCCTCCCACAGGATGAGGGGCAGTGGTGGTGCCCACGCGGGTGTGAGTGGAGCCGCGGTTTGGGAAGGGGCTGCAGGGACCCTGCTCTGTGCCTGCTCTGGAGCCAGCAGTCACAGGAAAGAGCCACAGGCAGTCAGGCTGCACCTGCTACCCACCGAAAGAGCCCAGATTAGCAGAATCTGAGTTCAGCACCAAATGCCAGAGAACCTGTTGCCAAGGCTGGAATTTCTCGCTGAACAGCTACATACATGTCACCAGCCAAACACGTGCTGGGACCTTTTGCCAGTTCTTGGAACATCTGGGCTGCACGGGATCCATCGTGCCCAGTCCCACACGGAGAGTCCCCGGGGGCACCTCGGGAGGGGCAGTTGGACCCTCGTGTCCCCCCCGTGTTGGTGGCGTGGCCGAGGGAGACGTTCCCCAAACCTGCGCCGTCCCTCCGGGCACTGGAGGCAGGATGAGTCTGGATGCTCAGGGCATCACCTCTGTTGAGTTAAACAATGCTAGATGTGATTTCCTGGGAGGAATTGAGGGAGACACCTCAAATCTTCAGAAAAACTCGTGAAGGGGGCGGGGGGAGAAGTGAAGAGCAAAGGGGAAGGCGGCATCCATCGACACCACCCTTCGTCACACTGCCGGTGCCTGGCTCAAGGTGCAGTCACCTCCTAGGGGCCTGGTCCTCTTGGGGTGGAGGTTTGGAGGTCTCCTTTCCCCCAGGGCTGTACGTGTCACCTCCCTGCACAGGCCCTGTGGGCTCCATCCTGGACATGCTGGAGTGGAGGGTGTCCCACTGCCCCTTTCTGTCAGGAGCGGGACCGGCCCTCCCGTGATTATTCCTGATCTTCATTATTTATAGAGAAGGCAAATTAAATTATTAATATGGAAAATTCAGATAACATTAACAATTCTCAGTTTATAACGGTTTCCCATTAATAAGGAAAATTGGAAATTTATCACTACATCTGTTCATTAAAACTCACTATTTTTTTCTTTTTTTTTCCTTTTGGGGTCTGAAATGAAAGCAGAGAAATAAACCAAGAGGAGAAGCCATTTGTTCACTACTTCTCTGGGCAAAGTCAGCCCATAATTTTTAATAAAGTCGTGGCCATTATATGTGGAGGGGAAACCAGCCTGGAATGAAAGCAGCTTTTCAGCCCTGTGTGTGGTGTGGCTGGACTGTAGAACCAACGCTGGGACACACGGCCCTGGGTGGGAGCCTTTAAGCCGGGGGGTAGTTCCCTGATTTCCCTCCCTCCCTGGCAGCTCTCCTTGCTCTCAGCATGTGTCCCTCCAGCTCCCAGGGGTGAATTTTAACACCTGCCCTGCTTCTTTCAGAGATGGCGGATTCCTGTACCTGTAAAGGGGGAAGGAAGGCTGCAGGTTCTCACAGACCCCCTGCCAGCAAAGAGAGGAGCGAGACGAGGATCCACCCGCCGGCAGAGCTGCCCAAGCTGGGTGAGGAACTGGCAGTTTGGGGTGGGGCAGAGGGGACGAGGCCAGGGGATCGTGGGGTTATAGATTATTTTTGATTAGAAGAGACCTTTAAGCTCATGGAGTCCAGCCATTAACCCAGCACTGCCAGGTCCCCACTGCCCCGTGTCCCTCACACCACATCTCCAGGGCTTGGAAACCCCTCCAGGGGTGGGGACTCCACCACTGCCCTGGGCAGCCTGGCACCGCCCTGGGCAACCCTCCAGGGCAAGAAATTGTTCCTCAGGGACAACTTCAACCTCCCCTGGGGCAACTTGAGGCCGTTTCCTCTTGTCCTGTCCCTTGTTCCTTGGGAGCAGAGCCCGACCCCCCCCTGGCTCCAGGCTCCTGTCAGGAGCTGGGCAGAGCCAGAAGGTCTCCCCTGAGCCTCCTTTGCTCCAGGCTCAGCACCCCCAGCTCCCTCAGCTGCTCCTCACCAGACTAAGGCTCTTATGAGGGGTTGGAGGGCAGCTGGCAAAACAAGGGGGTGCAAGTGCATCGGGTCCCCATGTGCCTCTGCTCCCTGTGTTGACCCACCAGGGAGGACTGTGCTGGGCCAAAAAAACCCCAGACCCCTGGATCTGGAGAGAGCCGGTGCCTGGGGAGGGGGGGGGAGGGCTGGAGACAGAATCTCACTGAGCTGGTGCCTGGGGAGGGGAGGGGAGGGCTGGAGACAGTCTCTCCCTTCTGGGAGGCGTGTGGCTGGCTTAATGAGATGGGTGTCTGGCCGCCTGCATCTCCTGTTGGTAGCTGAGCCTTACATCAAAGGGTGGAAAGGCTTAAATGAGTTCAGACCATCTGCTGCCTCCTGTGTGGTGGCCCCGGGGTGGAGGCGTGGGAGCAGAGGAGCCCCGGGGGAGCTGCTGCCTGAGGGCTGTCACTGATGGATCACTGATTTCTCTACCCAGGCACCTCCAGACTCAAGGAGATTTTTAATCCTGCCTGTTTATGCCGGGCAGATCCTGCCTGTGGGCACAGAGAGGCTCCTGCTGCCTCTGCCCTGCTGCTGATGGGGTGCCCGTGGCCTGGCCGAGGCTCAGACCCCAGGGATGCCTCAGACCAGGCACCCAAAACCACCAGCCTCGTGGGGAAATGGTTTGTGCCCTAAATTTTTCCCAAATGCTGCTTTTCCCTGGAGGGGGTGGAAGCTGTGATTGCTCCCAGAGGGTGTAGCTCCCTGCTGAGGGGAATGAACTCCAGCTGTCTGCTCTACAATCATACCTGCACTCAGAAGGTGCTTCTGCATGTCTTCAAAAGGAGAAAAGCCTTTTGTTTTTTGGCCCTTCCTTAAGGTTTATGTGGGCTGAAAGTGATGAAGTGGAGTGAAGGACATGCTTTGGTGAAGATCTTCTGTTGCTTTCCTTGGGAAAGTGCTGGAGGTGGGAATGTCTGCCAGGGTTCACTTCATGGGGCTGAGTTAGGCTTGAGGCAGACTGGGGACACAGGGACCTCTTGGGTGCAGCAGCTTGGTTGGTGCAGGGAATCACAGGATCCCAGCATGATGGATATTGGAAGGGACCTCCAAAGGTAACCTTGGCCAACCCCCCTGCTCCAGCAGCTCACCCCCAGCAGGGTGCCCAGGGTCACAGCCAGGAGGGTTTGGGATCTCTCCAGAGCAGGAGACTCCACAGCCTCTCTGGGCAGCTGCTCCAGGCTCTGCACCCTCACCCCAAAGAAGTTTCTCCTCCTGCTCAGGTGGCACCTCCTGGGTTCCAGTTGGTGCCCGTTGCCCCTTGTCCTGTCACTGGGCACCACTGACCAGAGTCTGGGTCCTTCCTCTTGACCCCCACCCATGAGCATTGATCAGATCCCCTCTGAGCCTTCTCCAGGCTCAGCACCCCCAGGGCTCTCAGCCTTTCCTCAGCACACAGATGCTTCAGTCAGGATCTTTTAGAACACACTTCCCAAGGTCAGTCTTGGTGCAGAAAAGCCTCGAGTCCCTCAGCAGACCACCCCTGGTCCCCTGTAACACTGAGCACTGTCAGGGTCATGTTTCCTGCAAGGGTTGGGCTTTATCACAGCTGGTGGTTGGTAGCCAGGAGTGGGATATTAGGAGAGGAGTTGGGGTTTCTGCTCTGCCTGCCCCTGTCCTTGCTGTCCTCAGCTGGCAGCTGATCACTGAGGGTGTTGAGGGGCAGCTGGACTGGAAGCTCTTGTGTTTGGCAGAAAATGTCCCACAAAGTTTTCAAACTTGGAGGAGAGGGAGAGAGAGAGGGAGAGGGAGAGGGGAGCTTTCAGCTGAGCTGTGTGGGCCAGCCCCACACATGCTGGGCTCCTGGGGACAGCTGCTGTGGGACATTGCAAATCTGGAACGTTTTGAAGTGTTCAGGAGAGAAAGCAAAAAACAGGGAGAGAGAAGGGCCACGAGAATGATCCGAGGGCTGGAGCAGCTCTGCTGTGAGGACAGACTGAGAGAGTTGGGGCTGTTCAGTCTGGAGAAGAGAAGGCTCCCAGGGGACCTTATTGTGGCCTTCCAGTATCTTAGGGGGGCTACAAGAAAGCTGGGGAAGGACTTTTTAGGCTATCAGGTAATGACAGGGCATGGGGGAATGGGGCAAAGCTGGCAGTGGGCAGATTCAGGCTGGATGTGAGGAAGAAGTTCTTCCCCATGAGAGTGGTGAGACCCTGGGATGGGTTGCCCAGGGAGGTGGTTGAGGCCCCATCCCTGGGGGTCTTTAAGGCCAGGCTGGAGGAGGCTCTGGGCAGCCTGATCTAGTGGGAGGTGTCCCTGCTCATGGCAGAGGGGTTGGGACTGGGGGATCCTTGTGGTCCCTTCCAGCCCTGACAGATTCTGATCTGTTTTAGCAGAGGACTTTAGAGCCCTAATGGCTCAATGGTTGGACTTGATGATCTTGGAGGTCCCTTCCAACCTAAAGGATTCTATAATTCTATGATTCTATAATAAGCAGGTAGGTTCAGGCTAGATGCAAAGAAGACTTTTTTTTGCATCCCAGGCTGCCCAGAGAGGTGGTCACTGCCCCATCCCTGGAACCATCCCAGGGGAGGTTGGTTTGGGCTCTGAGCACCCTGCTCTAGCTGGGGCTGTCCCTGTCCCTGCAGGGGGGCTGGACTGGGTGACCTTTAAAGGTCCTTTCCAACCCAAACCAATTGATTCTATGAACTGCAGTGTTGTGAGCTTCTGCTGCAAATCCTGTTACAATTTGGTGTTTTTTTCATACACTTCCAGCTCGTGGAGTCCCTGGATGTGCACAAACCACAGCTCTGTGTGGTGTGCAGGGTGAGGCCAGTGGCCCCTGCAGCCCTGGGGCTGCTCAGCCACGCTGGCTGTGCTGAGGGGATGCTGACCTAGGCACACATTTCTTTTGCTAAGTAACATGACTGTTGGAGGGTTTCTCCCAAGCCAAGTGGGAGGACAGTCTTCCAAAGTGAGCCCCAGCCATAGTCAAGGGTCAAGAGCACAAGTCTTTGAGGAGTGGCTGAGGGAACTGGGCTTGTTAGGGCAATAGGACAAGAGGAAACAGCCTCAAGTTGCCCTAGGGGAGGTTGAGGCTAGAAATGAGGAACAATTTCTTGCCCTGGAGGGTTGCCCAGGGCTGTGCCAGGCTGCCCAGGGCAGTGGTGGAGTCCCCACCCCTGGAGGGGTTCCCAAGCCGTGGAGATGTGGTGTGAGGGACACGGGGCAGTGGGGACCTGGCAGTGCTGGGGGAAGGGTTGGACTCCATGAGCTCAAAGGTCTCTTCTAACCCAAACAATTCCATGCTTCTGTGATTGTGTGAAACTGCTCTGTGCAAACCAGAGAGGAGGGGTGGGCAGACACCAGGAGGAGCTGCTGTGTCCCGTGCAGGTGTCTGCAGGAGCAGGGGCTGTGCTCTGACTTGCCGGGGAGCTGGCTCTGCCATCCAGAGGGGGATCTCTGTCCTCTCCAAGGCAGGGCCCGTGCCGAGCTACCCAGCAGGAGGGCAGCTCCTCTGGCACGGCCGGTGATGGGCACTGCATCTGTTTGCAGGAAATGCAACCAGTGACAAAACAGAAGGCAGGAAGAAAGGACGACCCAAGGCTGAGAACCAGGCACTGAAGGACATCCCTGTAAGCCCTGTGGCTCTGGGCCCCTGCCCTGCCCTCCCCTGCCCATGCCCTGCCCGTGCCCTCCCCTGCCCTGCCCTGCCCGTGCCCCGTGGCACCACGTCTTCCCACCAGCTGCAGCCTGCCCTCCCAGGGTTCATTCTTCAGAGCAGCCCTGTCGTGGGCTCAGCAAGACCCCAGCCCCTCAGTCCCCTCTGTGCAGGCAGCCAGCACCCCCCAAAACCCTGCTTAGGGAGCAGAACTCCCCTCCAGCCTCCCCTTCCCGAGCCCCTGCCCGTATCGGCTGGATCCTTTCGCCACCATGTCAGGTTTAGGGGTGATTAATTCCCCACAGATTAATTCCCACAGGGTAGCATGGACAACACACAGAGCAGTTTGTCATGAGAGCACGGACGTGGGGTGATTCACTGACTAGATGAAAGGTGGGGTGGTTAAATCACCAGAGCAACTTGTGGCCTGATTTATTCCCCAGCCTGGCCGGGAGCGTGCGTGTGCTCTGAGAGGCACCACAAGGTAGATTCTCAGGAGGAATCATGAGCTGCAGAGCCTGCAGGATCTGTCCCAGCACCTTGCTAAAGAGATGAGTGCTGCACTGAAATGCAGCCCTGGGGTCCACTCTGCAGCTGAGTGGTGGGAAGGGGCAGGCAGGAGAGGTCAGAGGTCCCGTGTGTCCCCCGGACCCCCTTGGCACACACCCGGGCACGTGGTGCTCTTGGCTGAGCTGTGTCTCTCATCTCTCCTGTCCCCAGCTCCCCCTGATGAACCAGTGGAAGGACGAATTCAAAGCCCACTCCAGGGTGAAATGTCCCAATTCAGGCTGCTGGCTGGAGTTCCCCAGCATCTATGGCTTGAAGTACCACTACCAGCGCTGCCAGGGGGTAAGGAGAGCAGAGGGCTGCGTGTCCTTTCCCTTGGCCAGCTCTTCTGTTACCATCTGCAGTGCAAAGCCCCTCTCAGGTCTTAAACCCCAGGAGAAACGTGAGATTAAACCGGGGAGGGCGTGGAGGGACCAGGGGTGGTGCACGAGAGGGGCTGGGGTCCCTCCAGCTCTGCATGAGGCCTGGCCTGGGGGGGATCGTGGACCATTAGTAACCATTTGGAGGGGCAGGGGAGCATTCCACAGGATTTGGGTTTGTGCCTGTGCCAGAAGAAGCCCATCCCTTTCCTGGTCCAACATCCACGCTCACCCATCTCTCCCTGCTCCCCACAGGGTGCCATCTCAGAGAAGCTGACGTACTCCTGCTCGTACTGCGAAGCTGCCTTCACCTCCAAAACCCAGCTAGAAAAGCATCGGCTCTGGAATCACCTGGACAGGCCAGTGCCAGCCAGCAAAGCAGAGAACAAAGTGCCCAAGGCCGTGGGGAAGAGCAGCAGCAAGAAAAGGTACCGGGCTGCGGGGCGGGCTGGCGA